TTTTGCGCGGAAACCCTCTATTACAGTTAGTGAAGCCCCGGTTTGGGCGAAATATATTTAAAAATACTTCCCAAATATATGACATATATTTTAAATACAAAATTTTTGTCCGTTTTCTTTTTAATTCAATAAATATATAATATAATATCATATGTGGGGGGGGGACACTCTTATGTGGAAATAAATGCAAGACTGCCCTTTTTGGGGGACACGATGAAAAGGGGGGTTTCTTGATGGGGACAGATGTAAGGGGGATTGGGGGAAACATTTAAAGGGGTGTTGAGGGGCCCTGTGAAAGGGGGGCACTTGAGGGGGGACATGATTAAGGGTGCCCGAGGGGGGCATTGTGAAAGAGGGATTTGATGGGGACTGATTGGGGGTTTACTCGATGGGGCACTGAGGAAAGGGGCACTTGTGGGAACATTGTGTAAGGGGGTGCCTGTGGGGACACTGAGTAAGGGGGCCTCTGATGGGGACTTGATGAAAGGGGGGTGCTCTGATATAGGTAAAAAAACACTCAATAAAACAATGTGAATTGGCTTACATGTATTAGCCGCTACTGACCCGGAACATGGTGCAGCAGCATGACGTCAGCCCTGGAAACTAAGGCTAAAGATAGTGAATGGGGACTATATGGTTATAAAACATCCAATAAAACAATGTGAACTGGCTCACAAGGTATATGCCCGCTACTGTCCCAGAGAATCGTTCAGCAGCATGACGATCAGCCCTGGAAACTTAGCATAAAGAAATTGAATGGGGAAATTCAACACCCATTAGGAAGGGGCTAGGCAGCAGCAAAAATCATGCGTATACTGTGGCCACAGCCTGCCCTCCTTTCCCAAATCAGAGCTTCTGTCTTTGAAAGGTATTAATTTTTTTTTTTTCCAGTATCCTTGTTTTAAAACTTCTCGATTGCCACATACCCCCTGATAGGAGATCAAAATGACCCTTGAGGGCAGACTCTCTTGTAAATCCTTCATCCATGAGCAGCCCCTGAAAGTGAGACTAAGAGGGTTGCTAAGAGGCTGGATCAAGAATCAATACGTTCCAGTAGATGTAGCTTGCAGGAAACCAGGTCTGGAGAATTGCCAATCGGGATTTCAAGCAGCTCGTGCGAGCAGGAATACCAGGCGAGGAAGTCAGCAGGAGAACCAGAAGAGGTTGGGGGAACTTCGATTCAGCGATAGCAGGATTCACTGGATCTGAACACGGTGCCTGCAGGCCAATGTGGAGCAGTTATCAGAAATGTATTTACGAAGTCAGGAATCCAGCAGGAGTCTCAATCAATCGAGTGCGCAATGCTATTCACAATCAGAAGCAGATCAAAGTCATGAATGAAGCAAGATAATAAACTGGCTGAGCTGGTTGATCCAGAACAAGATCCACAATTAAGTCAGGAGGAAGCTGGGCTGGGGTAGAACTGGTGGAACTCAAGTCAGGGAGCTAGGAACACGCTGAAGACCACCATAGCCTTTAGGCACCAATGCGGAGCGTACATCCTGTAAGGCAATGCATGAACGAATGATCTAAGGGACTTATGTGTGAAATATGGGGTCTCTAGAGCGAATGGTTCCGGAGGTACGGTCGCCCAAAGCGAACAGAACCGACCGCGAGCTTTAAACATTGGAGTCTTTTGGGAAATTGGGCCCGGTTGCCCTGGAACCTGCCGGCGGGGAACCATGCAGGCTAGAGACAACAGTTTTGGTGCGCTGTTCATGTTTGGTAGGTCCCTGTCTACCCACGGTCCAAATTTGGGGTCTCTGGCACCTATGGTTCTGGAGATACGGGCACTCCAAGTAAAAATATTCTTCCACTATATATCTGGTCTCCCCGGAGGCCCGCTCTCCCCGGACCCCGCATTCTCTATATCCGGTCTCCCCGGACCCCGCATTCTCTATATCCGCTCTCCCCCGGACCCCGCATTCACTATATCCGGTCTCCCCGGACCCCGCATTCTCTATATCCGGTCTCCCCGGACCCCGCATTCTCTATATCCGCTCTCCCCGGACCCCGCATTCACTATATCGGTCTCCCCGGACCCCGCATTCACTATATCCGCTGTCCCCGGACCCCGCATTCACTATATCCGCTCTCCCCGGACCCCGCATTCACTATATCCGCTGTCCCCCGGACCCCGCATTCACTATATCCGCTCTCCCCGGACCCCGCATTCACTATATCCGCTCTCCCCGGACCCCGCATTCACTATATTCGCTCTCCCCGGACCCCGCATTCTCTATATCCGCTCTCCCCGGACCCCGCATTCACTATATCCGCTCTCCGCGGACCCCGCATTCACTATATCCGCTCTCCCCGGACCCTGCATTCACTATATCTGGTCTCCCACAGTACATACAACATGGAAATACAATTATTTTTGTAAATATAAACAGCTAAATACCTTTTCTCATCAGCAGTATATAGCAGTCTTGTGACTTCTATCAGTGTCCAGCAGCACACTGGTTAAAGCTTATAGGAGGAGTTTTCTTTCTGCTCTAAGAGGATGCAGAACCCCTGAGTGCTGATTGGCCCTGTGCTGATCACATGCACCCTCCCAATAAAAAATAAAAAAAAAAAACCTCTCCAGCAATACACACCAAACTGAGCATGTGCAGAGTGACTCCACATATTCTGCTCTAAGAGGATGCAGAACCCCTGACCTCTGTCTGGACAGTGCTGATTGGCCCTGTGCTGATCACATGCACCCTCCCAAGAAAGAAAAACTTTGGTTTGGCCATCCACAGCTCATATGCTCATGTGGCCCCTTGGGAAAATAAATTGCTCACCCCCGGCTCGGTGTTTGTAGGCTGCTGTTGGCGTAGCATCATGTGCTCCTGAATACATAGTGGAAGCCCAAGGCTCGCATCGTCAGTATACAGCACAAAGTCATTCGCTTCATTCCCATCATTCCGGGTGTAGAGCGTTCCTTCTGCAGTCATGTGGCATCTGAATGGCCTAAGGCAGCAATGGGCAAACTACGGCCCGGCGGACCTTTTAATCCGGCCCATGGAGCGTGATACTGTCAGGATGGCTGTCAGGATGTGTGTAGGCGGGGCAGCGTGACGAACGTGAGGGGAGCTAGGCTCCTCTCACAGTCCGCCCTGAAGACCAGAACGGCGCGGGAACACGGTGAGAGGAACGCGCGGAGCAAAGGTAAGTGAATTGACACAGGGGGGACTTGGCTTACTACTTGGGGGGGAATAGTACTATGGGGGATGAATTACTATGGGGGGTGAATTACTATGGGGGATGAATTACTATAGGGGGGATGAATTACTATGGGGGATGAATTACTATATGGGGGATGAATTACTATATGGGGGATGAATTACTATAGGGGGATGAATTACTATGGGGGATGAATTACTATATGGGGGATGAATTACTATATGGGGGATGAATTACTATATGGGGGATGAATTACTATGGGGGATGATTTACTATGGGGGATCAATTACTATGGGGGATGAATTACTATGGGGGATGAATTACTATGGGGGATGAATTACTATGGGGGATGATTTACTATATGGGAATTAATTACTATATGGGGAATTAATTACTATGCTTACTATGGATGACACATACACATCATTCATCTACTCTTGGTCCGGCCCCGGGTCCAATATATGAACCCATTGCGGCCCTCAAAAAAAAAAAGTTTGCCCACCCCTGGCCTAAGGCAATATTAGTGAGCTCCAACGTGTGAGTGACTAGCCAAAGAAGACAACACAAAGCTAAATAATATTTCATTTTCTCGAGAACTTTTTTAATTTTCCTCAGTTGGGGCCCCTCACACAGCTTCAAATCAGACCACCGCTTACGTAATTTGTCTTTGGTGCAGCAATCCCCAGATCTCCTTCTCAGCACCCAGATGGCCTTCTCCATTATGTTGTCTTGTATCAGGTCTGGCTTCTTGTACATCTCAAGAGGTTTGCCATCATAATCCTGTAGGCAGATGCAGTCTCTTTTCTCCACTGCAAGCGGCGCTCGAACCACTGAGGCATCGCATAGGAGGAGAGGATGCAAGGAGGCACCTAGGCATGCAGACTGCTTCTACAAACATTGGTGAAAGAATGGGTCGCTCTCAGGAGCTCAGTGACTCCAAGCGTGGTCCCGTGATAGGTGGCCACCTGGGCAATAAGTCCATCCGTGACATTTCCTGGCTACTAAATATTCCACGCTCAACTGTTAGTGGGATTATAACAAAGTGGAAGCAACTGGGAACAACAGCCACTCAGCCACCAAGTGGTAGGCCACGTCACAATGACAGGGCGGGGTCAGCACATGCTGAAGCGCACAGTGCGCAGAAGTCGCCAACTGTCTGCAGAGTCAATAGCTAAAGACCTCCAAACTTGGTGTGGCCTTCAGATGAGCCCAACAACAGTGTGTAGAGAGCTTCATGGAATGGGTTTCCATGGCCGAGCAGCTGCATCCAAGCCTTCCATCACCAAGTGCAATGCAAAGCGTCAGATGCCGTGGTGTAAAGCACGCCGCCACTGGACTCTAGAACAGTGGAGACGTGTTCTCTGGAGTGACCAATCACACTTCTCTGTCTGGCAATCCAATGCATGTGTTTGGGTTTGGCTGTTGCCAGGAGAACGGTACTTGCTTGGCTGCATTGTGCCAAGTGTAAAGTTTGGTGGAGGGGGGATTATGGTGTAGGGTTGTTTTTCAGGGGGTGGGCTTGGCCCCCTAATTCCAGTGAAGGGAATTCTTAAGACGACATTTTGGACAATTTCATGCTCCCAACTTTGTGGGAAGAGTTTGGGGATGGCCCCTTCCTGTTCCAACATGACTGCCCACCAGTGCACAAAGCAAGGTCCATAAAGACATGGAGGAGCCAGTTTGGGGTGGAGGAACTTGACTGTCCTGCACAGAGTCCTGACCTCAACCCCACAGAACACCTTTGGGATGAATTAGAGCGGAGACTGTGAGCCAGACCTCCTCCCCCGACATCAGTGCCTGACCTGACAAATGTGCTTCTGGAAGAATGGTCCAACCTTCCCATAGACACCCTCCTAAACCTTGTGGACGGCCTTCCCAGAAGAGTTGAAGCTGTTATAGCTGCAAAGGGCGGGGCCAACTCAATATTGAACCCTACGGACTAAGACTGGGGGGCCATTAAAGGTCATGTGCGTGGAAAGGGCGGGGCCAACTCAATATTGAACCCTACATACTAAGACTGGGAGGCCATTAAAGGTCATGTGCGTGGAAAGGGAGGGGCCAACTCAATATTGAACCCTACGGACTACGACTGGGAGGCCACTAAAGGTCATGTGCGAGGAAAGGGCAGGGCCAACTCAATATTGAGCCCTACGGACTAAGACTGGGGGGCCATTAAAGTTCATGTGTGTGGAAAGGGCGGGGCCAACTCAATATTGAACACTACGGACTAAGACTGGGGGGCCATTAAAGGTCATGTGCGTGGAAAGGGAGGGGCCAACTCAATATTGAACCCTACATACTAAGACTGGGAGGCCATTAAAGGTCATGTGCGTGGAAAGGGAGGGGCCAACTCAATATTGAACCCTACATACTAAGACTGGGGGGCCACTAAAGGTCATGTGCGTGGAAAGGGCAGGGCCAACTCAATATTGAGCCCTACGGACTAAGACTGGGGGGCCATTAAAGGTCATGTTTGTGAAAAGGGCGGGGCCAACTCAATATTGAACCCTACGGACTAAGACTGGGGGGCCATTAAAGGTCATGTGCGTGGAAAGGCCGGCGGCCCAATACATTCATCAATATAGTGTAGGTATATTGTATGCACAATTGCACTTTGGAATTTTTAGAAGACAGCACCTCCACTTTACTTGAAGTAACGACTGAGCAATTGTCAGTTAAAGTAGCGCAGTGCTGAATAATAAAAGATGCCCTTGTCATGAAGGGGGGTAAAACCTGCCGGGGCTTAAGTGGTCAAATTTAATTACCGTGCGATTTGTAACTTGCATGAATAAACATTATGTGTTTTATACTTTTCCCGCCGTGTGTTGTACCTGTAAAGTCTTTTTCCATGGAGTAGCAATTTGTACAAGGCGTGAACTGAGTGGAAAAAAAAAGATACATCGCGATGCTTCAAAATCAGGATTTGTAATTTAATTACCATTTGAAAGTTTAGAAAGAAAGCAAGGATTCCCATTTTAGATTGAATAATCTCTTCGTGTTGAAAAATTTTTTCCATAATCACAATTTCATCCATCCCAGCAATAATTTGTGGAAAGGGAAGTATAGTATCCGTCTTGATTCTTAATTCTGTAGTCTGTCTAAAAAATAAAAGAATATACAATCTTTCAATAAAGTAGTACAGTGATGAATAGTAGCAAGTTATATGAAAGTCGGGAAAACAATCTCAAACTGAACCTCTGAAAAGGATGAATTATTCCTAGGTCACATGGTTTGGTTATAATGCTCTCTTATTGGAAAGTTAATATCATGTGATTTGTTCATAAAAAAGAGAAGCTAGACCAGCAATGGGCAAACTACGGCCCGGCGGACCTTTTAATCCGGCTCCCGCTAGGCTCCTCTCACAGTCCGCCGTGTAGCATGAAAATCTGTCTCCTATGAGGATCTGTCCCCCTCGACGTATCTGCGCATGTGCCGGAGATCGCCGATCGGCTGCTAATGCCTGAAACTGGCACATGCGCAGATACGTCGAGGGGGACAGATCCTCATAGGAGACAGATTTTCATGCTACACCGGAACGGCGCGGGAACACGGCGAGAGGAACGCGCGGAGCAAAGGTAAGTGAATTGACACAGGGGGGACTTGGGGACTTAATATGGGGGTAAATTACTATGGGGGATGAATTACTATATGGGGGATGAATTACTATAGGGGGGATGAATTACTATAGGGGGGATGAATTACTATATGTGGAATGAATTACTATATGTGGAATGAATTACTATGGGGGATGAATTACTATATGGGGGATGAATTACTATATGGGGGATGAATTACTATATGGGGGATGAATTACTATATGGGGGATTAATTACTATGGGGGATGAATTACTATATGGGGGATGAATTTACTATATGGGGGATGAATTACTATGCTTACTATGGGGGAATATTACTATACTTACTATGGATGACACATACACATCATTCATCTACTCTTGGTCCGGCCCCCGGGTCCAATATATGAACCCATTGCG